TGCTTGTTCTTAAAAGCTGAATAATTCTAAATGAACTCTGTTATTTTGACAGGAAAATAAAACAAAGAATATCGTTTACATGTATCACTAGGCCTGTCACGATAACAACTTTTTGTTGTGCGATATATTGCCCCAGAAATAATTGCGATAAGTGATATTATTGTCATTTTAAAGACCATTTTATGTCACTGAATATATAATCATAATGTAACAGCATAATAATGCAAGAAGGCCTACACACTTCCAAATGACAACAAACTTTTAATTTTTAAGAATATTTAGATAATGGAAATTAAGTATCAAAATATTAGATACCTTAAAAAACGTGAATAAATAGTAAATAAACATTTTCTAACAAAAAGTGCAAAGCAGCAAGTAGAAAAAAAGAAAAATGCACAAAGATTTTTCCATGTACAGATTTTTCCATGACCTTATTTTCTCTGTAAATTAAGGGTGCACACTATTGGTGAAAAACACAATCCCTACTTATCAGTCAGATGTCCGTATGCACAAAGGCACAGATCCCTAAACAAGACCATATCTGCGGATGAAACTCTTTTTCAGATCCCTAAACAAGGCCATATCTGCAGATGAAACTTTGTTTGTAGAAGCATTTTTTAAATTTGAACTAGCACCTCATTACTACACCACGTTATGTACAAGAAGCTGCAAAAGACACAGGCACAAGTGGAATGTACAAAACATGGTGACATTAATTTTTAAGTAAATATAATGGGCGATATATTGCGTCACCAAAAATTATTGAGGTTATGTACATATATTGCGCGATAAGTCGATATATTGATTATTGCGACAGGCCTAGTTAGGAGGACACCATAATCGTGATTAGGATTAAAATATATAGTGTACGATCCATATATAGGTATGATTGAAAGTGATATTTATTAAGTTTTGGTTATGTAAGTAATTTAAATGTAAAAAATATTGCTGTAAAACAATAATATTTAGTAATTGAGAATTGATATCTATTTTTTCTGTAATGTCTGCTCTATTTCTCATAAGATCAATATTGTCTTGAAAAAATAATTTATTCAGCAATTAAAAACGAGCTAGATGGCTATACCTACAATAATTTTAAGGGGCCGAGTTGTGTGGCAATAAAGAGTTTATTCTTTTGGATAGATAGATAGATAGATAGATAGATAGATAGAAATGGGCCTCGCATAGATTGAGTGTGATGCTTTGTAGATAGTGAGGGGGCAGCAGTGTGTCAGTTCCAGCACTGCATTGAAGCACACTCCCATCAGCCCCTCCCATCAGCTCTTAAAGGCTCACGCACGTCCCGTCCCGTCGGCAGCCATGTTGTTTGTCTGACAGCGCCGTACAGCAACAGGTTGTCAAAGATTCTCAATAAAACACAGCAGAAATTCTTTAAAGGACCCTGAAAGCCGATTGTCATCACGTTAATTCAGAGGACAATGGAAAAGGATATGTTTTCCTCCCAGGAGATTTCGCAAAGTCAATAATGCTGTTGTGTAATGTGAGTACCTCCTGTTATACTGCTCAAATGTCTGCTCATTTCAGTGTTATATGCTTTAATCACACTTTATAATTAGTTAGAACGTAGTTACAGTACTTATGTACATACTATTTATACTACATATAATGTTGAACATTTTCTGGTGGTTATCATTTGGGTTTACAGTAGTTGTGTGATGAGTTGGAAAAAGTGTCCAGTTTCAGACTCTTCAAAGTCCTTCAGAGCTTCTTATTACAAATATTAGAGCTCATTGTGAGTCATATGTGTCATTTAATGTTAAAGACCTGATTCAAAGTGCTTTTGAACATACTTTCTTCACACAAACCTGCCAGACGGGTAACGTTAGCAAACTCGTCTGTCTTCCTTTCACCTTTCGCTCTAAGCAGTGTACAATGTCACGTTAAAGTGAGATTTATTCGCTTTTGTACAAGTTTTATAATGCTACAGTGATTCATACATGACAATTGCCGGAACATGATCTAATAGATGATGATGATGATGATGGCTGTTTCAAAATTGAATGCATTGCTTACATAGACAGCATTTGTGGCCATCACGGCCCATGTCTCTTGTCAGTGTTTCAGATCTTTTCACTGGTTTCCTATTGGTTTTTCATCATTTAATTTTTTTGTTGTTGTATAGATCATATTGATCAGTTTGCACCTGACTTTTCTAAAAACATTGGCTTAAGATGCTGTTGCTCTACTCCATAACATTGTAAAAGTTGAGCCTTTGAATTAAGGCTCTTTTAGATTAATAGTAATGTAGTTGATTCCTTTCCAGTCTGTAAGGAAATGTCCTTGCAGACTCTGGGTCAGTGAAGGAGAATGATTTGTCAAACTGTAATGACTTTTGTCTTCTATTCTCAGGTGAATGGTCACAGACTTATTCTATTAACCACAGGATTTGTGCTTATCTAACAAATCGCCAATTCATATGGCACGTTAGAAATAGATTGTGTAACATAGTTGTTCAAGATCATGTGCATTTTTCATGCTTATTGTCATAGCTTGGACTTATCTGCTGTTCATCACAAATGCTCAAAACAGCTTATGTTATCTAAGCAGACTAATGAACCGATCCATTCTGCCAGTATTATTGTGTTAGAGCTGCTGGACAAATTATTCGGTTACAACCTGGAAAAAATATTTGCTTTTAAAAGACAGTTAGGAATGTTGGGCATCATTATATACAGGGTTTTAAAAAAAGGATGCCACAGAGCCAGTGTGACACTGTCTTGCATTGGTTGATCATGTACTGTGAAGTTTGTGGAGTTTGGTGCTGTACTTAACATTATACTGATTGTAGACTGTATCACCAAGCTAAGGTTATCTAGCTCTCTAGCATAGATGAAGATTTGTTGAAACTGTGAGAAAGACCTCTGATAGTGTTGAAAGCATCAGATTTTTGCATTGTATGATATTTGAACAGTTAATGAAAACAAAAACAAAAAAAATGATTCGGACACAAAATATCTGTAAAAAAAAACAGTGATGTTTTTTGATAATTGAAATAAAGCTGAATTAAAATAAAATACATATTAGATTAAAAAAAACTTTAATAATAAAATAGGAATAAAATAAAATATTTTGAAGTACTAAAATTACTAAAACTGAAATAAAAGTAAAGCTAAATGATATTTTAAAATTAGTTAAATATTTCAAACACTATATATATATATATATATATATATATATAACAAGAACTAATAAAAATGAGTTTTTATTAACTTAAAAATTAAAATGAAAACTGAAAATATAAATATATCACTAAAAATAGGCATGTACTAAATAACACTGGCTAACATGGCATTTTCTTTAATCATACTTAGTACAGCCAGGGAAATGTTGGCAGGGCAAGTAAACATGTGAACTACTAGCCCAACAACTGCACCAGCAAGATCCTTTTTGTTGTGCCCTGATTTATCTTTAAGAAGGTCCAGTGATGTAGTGATGGCGTGATGTTTATGTACAGTGTATATGCTGTATTGACAGCTGTCTGGCTGTTTAAGGCTCTACTGATGTGACCTGCATGAACTTCTGTACCAAAAAAAAAAAAACATCAGACAACATCTCTCAGAATGTGGAAGAGCTGGGTGCTTGAAATCTGTCAAATATAGATGTATGAATGGATTACATTCTAGTCATTAGAAAATAATAATACAATAATAAAATAAAATTACATAATTGACAAATAAAATAAAGTAAAACAAATATAACAGTACAGTAATGAAATCAGTAGCAACCACAAGGGTTGTGACGATAGATGATAGCATCGTGTATCAGTGATAGTTAGAAATATTGCCTGTTGCTGACACCTTTGACGATATCAAGACGATACTACTACTACTACTACTAATAATAAATTATCATTATTATCAGGCAAGTATTATTATCGAATTATGTTAGGGCTTATTTGTTCCATCATATTTATTTCTGTGTTTTTACACTGTTGCGATATAACCAATATACCAATCACACACGATTTTATTCCTGTTATAACCAAACACACACGATTCTGTTGAGTTTATGAATGCAATGGCCAATCAGAAGCCTTCAGATTAGTCATCATCACTGAAACACCTGAGTTTTGTTGTTCAGTGTACTGCTCTCTCACGAATTCTCTCATCATAAACAACGAAGTGCAGATGTACATGTGATATAAGTATAAGAGATTTATTCATTATACAGTGTAGACAGCTTCACTGATTATAACGGGAGTGTTTTTTTAAAGTGCATAAACTCGCGCTAGACTGAAGTCAGTGATTATGTTCTTTGATATAGTAATTTGTAAATATTCCTTGCTCGTTTTCTGTAGCTGCTGTTTGAATAACTGAGGAAACGTATGCATTATAATTAGTAACTTATAATGTTTTTATTAAAGTGTTATCTTGTTAAATACTAATTCAGAAACATTACAAATATTTTACGATATGACATCCATATGCTACTTGACTAAAAAGATATAATGTGAGTTAATAGATCACACTAACATTAGGCTGCTTTTAGCCTTACCCTGGAGTTGGTTCACTCTCCGACTATGAAACTAGAAAAGTAAATAACTAAATAAATTAGCATGATAATATCGTGTATCTGCGATCTCACAGGCTGACGACAGGACGATATGACTTTATGGAGCATATCGCCCATCAGCATCGCTGGTAATATTGCCAGGGATGTTTTTTTTTCATGATCAAGGCTCTACACCCTCTTCTACAAACAATGCTTTCATTTTACGAGAACTGAGAATTCAGTGACAAGCACAAAAGTGAGGGCTCTGACACACAGACAGCGTTTGTTGGTTTTAATGTGGCTTAATGTCCTCTCCGACCACAAGGCTGTGGGTCCAGAGTATTTGTACAACATTGTTTGTGACCTCTCAACATCCTGTTTCGTTTTTGCTTTCCTCCCACTTCCTTCGTTCCTTTGTGGCTGTTAAATCACACGCAGGGTGGAGGCAGGAGGTTGTGGGACGTGCCCAGCTATGACCTCACACTCTATCTTTGCAGCTCTCACATCATATACAGGTGCATCTCAATAAATTAGAATGTCGTGGAAAAGTTCATTTATTTCAGTAATTCAACTCCAATTGTGAAACTCGTGTATTAAATAAATTCAGTGCACACAGACTGAAGTAGTTTAAGTCTTTGGTTCTTTTAATTGTGATGATTTTGGCTCACATTTAACAAAAACCCACCAATTCACAACAAATTGAATTACTGAAATGAACTTTTCCACAACATTCTAATTTATTGAGATGCACCTGTACACCATTAATATACAGCGAGTGAAGGTAGAATGACACGATTACATTGTGCTTTGTCGGTGCTTCAGTATTTCCAAAGAATTCATTCAGTACCTGTTACTGAAATTGGTCGTTGACAAGCAAATGATAATATAGCCTAGTGGAAAGAAATGCTTTGTTTCCATATTAAATAGCTGAATCTTGGATATTTGCTATAGCCTAGATCAGGCGATGCAAAATTTGACCCAGGTGCAAATAACATGCAAAGCCAAGATTGAAATACCATTGGTCTCTCAAAGCTCTCAGTAAAACAGCAGTTTTGTGTGATTTGCCTTTGACTCTATATATCCTGGAAAGAGATAAGCAATGCATGCAGTTTCTAATTTAAATATAGTTTCTCATAGTATTCTCATTAAAATATGCAGTTTGTCCAGATCATTCAACTGGGAATTAGTTTGGAGTCAGTATGAATTTTTTAAAAGAAATTAATATTTTTATTTAGCAGTGACTCATTAATTTAATGAAAAAAGTGATGGAAAAGACATTTATAATGTAACGGAAATTTAAAAAAAAATTGCTTTAAATAAATGCTGATATCAAAGAATCCTAAAAAAGGTATCATTGTTTCCACTGAAATATTAAGCAACATACACATGTTTTCAATATTGATAATAATAAGAAATGTTTCTTGAGCACCAATCAGCATATTAGAATGATTTCTGAAGGATCATGTGACATTGGAGACTGGAGTAATGATGCTGAAAATTCAGCTTTGCTATCACAGGAATAAATTACATTTTAATATATATTCAAATAGAAAACAGCTATTTTAAATTGTAATAATATTGCATAATACTACTGTTTTTAGTGTGTTTTTGATCAAATAAATTCAGACTTGATGAGCATAAGCAATTTCATTTCCTTCCATCATACCTAACATTTGCAAAGATTTGCATCATGACAATAAATGCAAATAAATAAATCACTCTATCTGTCCGTCACTCTCTGAATAAAAGAAAACCACAGCGAGCACCACCAGTGTGTTAGAGTGATATGACAAACATGACAAGCATGCCCTATCCGAGCACTTTTGTGGAAGCTTGTCCTGTTTGACTGCATTCTGTTCCTCTATAGACCTGCTCCCACAGCTGTACCACACATCACTTCATGTCAGCAACTTTCTCACTTTTTTAAATGTGTGTGTATTTACTGCTATGTGTAATTGGTTTTGAAGATCTGACTGCTGTGATATACAGTACAACTGGTCTGTTAAATGAGTGTCATGAATAGTGGTAGGCCTATATATTAGCCAAGCTGATGTTTGGACATTTTGGGATCGGCCGATATACAACAATATACCGACTGCTTAATAGCAGTGTATGAAACTACAAATTTTCATAAGTGTGGGTGGTCTGAATGACTAGTTGACTAGTCTGTGGTAGGACGGTCTTGTATAATTAGGCTGCATCATGTCTACCAGCCCCCTGCCTGGTCAGATGCGTTTCTCAGGGTGAATTGAATTGGAATTCCTTTGAATTTTCAGTATTGTGTGTGTGTGTGTGTGTGTGTTGCATTAAATTTAAAGGATAAGTTCACTTCCAGAATGAAAATTCTGTCATCATTTACTCACCCTCCACTTGTTCCAAACCTGAAGTTTCTTTCTTCTGTTGAACACAAAAGATGATATTTTGAAAGATGTTAGTGTCCAAACAGTTAGTTAGTTAGTTTAGTTTATTGTCCTTTCGGAAATTCTTTTTGTATCTGTGGCAACTCTTCAGTGATCAACAACAATAATTAACAATACAAACATCAACAGGTTACAACACATCACAAATAAATACAACCAGCATCAAACAGCATCCCTCTCACAACAACAGAATCACTGCCATAGATGTAAAATGACAACTGTGATATCACAAAAATTTATTTAACAGAGCTATACTGGATGATATAAAAGATCTTTGTGCACGGGCAGTCCGTAATAATGGTACCCTGTACCTTCGACCAGATGGTAATAACTCATATTCACCACAAAGAGGATGAGATGCATCGTGAAGAATTGTATGGCTTTTCCTCACAGCTCGAGATTCACATAGTTTTATCAGACTATGGTGTTGTTTACCTGCAATCTTACTAGCCATGTTAACAATTTTATTTAGTTTGTTCTTATTTACTACAGACAGTGAGAAATACCAAGCAACAAAGCTGAAAGTCAAGATACTCTCCACAAATGAATGATAGAATAGAGCCAACATATATGTATCCACACCAAACTGTCGAAGCTTACGCATGAAATACAATTGCTGCAGCCCTTTCTTGTAAACAGCTGCTGTATTTACGTCCCATGGCAGTTTTTTATCAATGATTGTCCCTAGATATTTATATTAATTTACAACTTCAATGACCTCACCATTAACAGTTATTTGTTGATGAGTGCCTCTTCTTGTTCTGAAGTCAAAAATCATTTCTTTAGTTTTCCTGATATTTATCTGAAGGAAACTAGATTGACATCAGATGAAAAACCTCTACATTCATTTGTATAAAGGGTAAATAACTGGATTGACAGTTGATGGGCACCATTGACTTCTATAGTATTTTTGGTGCCCATCAACTGTTCGGATACTAACATTGTTCAAAATATCTTTTTGAACACAAAAGAAACTCATACAGGTTTGGAACAAGTGAAGGGTGAGTAAATGATGACAGAATTTTCATTCTGGAAGTGAACTTATCCTTTAAATGCAAATAAGATCTATATACCTGTTTGTGTATATACTGTACATCTGAATTATTGTCCATATTGTCAGTATTGATCTCGGTCTCTGTACCCATATCAGTTCACCCCTAGTCATATATAATATAATTATCAGCCATCTTGATCTTTTTTTCACGCGTACACTACAGAGATGATTTCAGACTAATTGATAAATGTGTGAATCAGAGTTCTTGGCTGACCCCCACCACTGACATTTACCGGACGTACTACAGTTTAGTAAATTTAAATGAGTTATGCATGATTTCATCAAACAATGTCAGGCTTACAGGGATAAACCTAGATAACTCTATCATTTCATGACACTTACTAAGACATTATTAGGAATTATGGAGTGACAATCTCTCTCTCTCTCTCTCTCTCTCTCTCTCAAAAAACAACAACAAAAAAACCCCTGGATTTACGCAATTTACACTGGTCATCCAAACGAGGTCAGAAAATATGGAAATTTGTAAAGTGGAATTCGAATTTTGTCTTCCTGGGCGGGTCGCAAATTAGAGCTTATGTATGGGAAACACTGCAACTGATCAGAGTTCATCAGAATTTTATCTGAATTTTTGGCCATTTAAATATTTGCAGCTGAACCAATTTGCATATTTTTTGCTCAGTTTGGGCCTCTGAATAAACGTCAGGTGTTTTTGTTTTTTCCCCTCCTTGAGCGTGAGCTTCATATTCTACTATATCATACTATATAATCCATAAAAACCAAACATGATACTCAACAAAAAACACACATGCAAACTTTTTTAGATTTTTTTTTTTTTGTCTAAAGGTTCAGTAAACTGTTCCATTTAAAAATTCAATTTATTAGATTTTCTTGACTCTTATTTCATATGTCAGGCTTTACTGGGTTAAACTGTTGTTTCTTCTCAAGATAATGATGAAGCTTTGATTGCTTTGAAATCAGTTTCTGGTGTTATTAGGAGGAGCATACTGATACAGTCAGTCATAAACAGTGTAATAAAAGTGTCATTGTTTATTTAGATTTTTCACATAGAACATTCTGTTGAAAACATTTGTATGGGGAGTTTAGAGCGCTCATCTCCTCCCTCTCACCCTTCCTCTCTCCTTCACACATCCTCTTCTCTCTCTCTTTCACTCTGAGAGCAACAGCCCCACACTCCCCTGCCTGCATTATTAATGGGTGGACATTTCCTCTCTCTCTCTCTCTCTCTCTCTCTCTGTGTGTGTGGTGCAGATGACTGAGCTAGCCAGCTGAGACAAGGAGATCAGGACCGCTCTCCTCATATCCCTGCCACCTGCAGCCATGAATGGTAAGAGCTCTGCTTTATATTTCTATGTGTGTGTGTTTACCTACGTGTCCCAGCCAACAGGATTTGTGTGTGTGTACACAAAGGACCTTTAGCCTTATAAATGCACCAGAACATGAGTCTTTCCTATTTATCCCGTCTCGTTCATATTTGCGGTGTGTGTGCAGGTGCTACGCTGCTCTCTCTCACTGCAGCATGCATTGCTCACACACCAGTAGCTCTGACCGTCTGCTTTGATTTCTGCCTGTCAGCAGCCCATCTAACACACTGACACGTCACTGCTTATTGATGTTGTTTATTCGATAACTGACTTGTGTTTGTTAAAATATACATTTTGAAGATACTTTCTCAGTTTTCTCAGTAGCTGTCATTTGAATAGCAGGATCGGGCCACCCTGTAAATGTTTCAAGGGATGTTGTTTATTGAACGTTTATGAGTTTTATAAGTTTTCTTCCATTGGAGAATGGTTGTTTTTAATAAAGATAAATGAATGAATGAAAATTAATATGTTAGGATATTGAGACAATTTCAGCCCCAAATGGCTGCTGTCATACACGATTTAAATAAGCATTCAAAAGTCAAATATAACTTAGTGACTGGTAGAAAAAAAATTGTCTGCCTATGTTATGTGAATGAGTGGATATGTTATGCTTAGCTAATCAAATTGTGAATGTTAAATGGCAGAAAAAACTTGCCAACTTTTGAACTTGGCTCCTCAAATTGTAATTTCATCATCATTTTGTCATTTAAAATGACAGCTCACTATTAACTTTATAAAAAAAATAAGTGTGATTATTTTGTAAAACACAGAAAAAGTAAATTTTTTCATGACTTTTTTTTAATATATGTGACTTGTTATACAGAAATTTGCAAATGCATGTACAAATAAAAAAAACTGCATATGGAATTACATTTTAATAGAATATGTTTAGAGTTTTAAATTAGTAAATTTAAGCTTTGAACTCAAAAGTATAGACTGTCTACTGCTGCTTAAAGCTGACTTAACTCTGTAATTTCAATAAATATCAGGGTAGGGCTGGGCGATATAGCTAAAAAATGTATCAATGATATAATGTTTCATATCGTTCAGTATCGATAATTATTAACATTTTTTATAACCTTTTTTAAAACAAAGAGCAATAGAAAAAAATGTTTACATTTAACCACTGTATTTTTAAATTAACTCAATTTATTGAGACAAACAACAAATATTTTTTGTTTTAACA